GAAATTTTGAAAATTAAATATACTAAATATACTTTAGCACCTACTTTTACAGATTTCTACTAAAATATTCATAGTCTGATTATGCATCTGCGTATGGACGTTTACATCCAATGTGACCAATCTACGATATCTTACAAAGGAAATCTGACTTATAAATAAAAAAAGTTATTCAAGTTGTCCACACTAGCCTCTTTCTCCCCTAGAAGAAGATTTTTTTTTTCAGTGTTGTTGTTGGCCATTAAAACAAGGGGGGCGATTGTACTTATTTTCCAATGGCGACATCTATGACCAAGAATGCGACTTCTGCCGCACCCCTACGTCACACCCGTTTATAGGACGGACTCATTCATATATCCATTCATTTATCCACAGATCGTAATTTTGACCTGAACCAGAGAACGATCAATTTCCAATTCAGTACCCCCGGAGATTTAAATTTTTATGGGAACATGGGGGCTTTGTGACCCAACAGATTTAACTTGCATCAGACACCATTTACTAGACGAGGAATCTTCGGCCGGCTAGATTCAAACTCCCGTTCCCACGAACGTGAGTCCAGCGCCCTGCCAAGCAGGCTATCCCAGCCACTGTTTTTTCAGTTGCACGGCCTGTATAAGTTTCCGAATTTCGGACTCACATTATCGCAATGCATCTATCAAATGTTTATTATTATTATTTTTTTTTTTTTTTGGTTAGTGGTGGGCACTTGGGTCTATTTCCCATTGGCCTCAGAAATGCCAGAATTGCTACTCTCTTATCGTTAACCAGTAGGCACCTATGTCTAAGCCACGGCGGTGGAGCAGCGTCACCCACGTCATACAACCACAAACCCGTTTATAGGGCGGGTTACATTCACACAATCACATAGAAGAAAAACAGAAACATCCATGCCCTGAGCGGGATTCAAACCCGCAACCATTGGCTCCGCAGTCAGGCACGCTAACCACTCGGCCGCCTGGTCGGCTCTATCAATTGTTAAAACTGCCGTAGCTTCGACAAATGAGAAAAACGCTAACACGTGTGACAAAAATCTATAAAGTTAAGAAATTAAATGCCACTTGGAATATTCAAACAAATATTTAAACTTTAAAATATCAGAACAAATTATTAAATTTCCTTAATATTATCATGAAATGTATTAAACGCATTAAAGTAATAAAATGCATTATAAAGAAAATTTTTTAAACAAGTTTTGAAAAACATTATTTTAAAATTTTATCGCTGAAAAAAAACACCACCAGTAGCTTATTCTTAAGCTTGATAAATCTTTATCGGTTATAAGCTTCCGAATTTCTGTTCCGTTAAATGTGCCGTGGCTAAAATTAGTAACTATCTTGATATCTTTTTATCTAATGATTGGAGTTTCAATTACAGTTCGAATAAAAAAAAAATCTTATTTTTAGCTCCATTAGAATAAAACATAACTGTTAACGGATTCCTGCAATAACGGAATCAATTACTATCATTGCTGCTACATCGTTGGGTATCCCCATTATAGAAGGGGGGAAAAGAAGCTCCATCGCGAAACAAAAACAGTAGTATTGCTTAATAAAAGGTCTTTTCCCTGGCGATAATGACATAGAACATTTTGGGAACAAGTTATCAAACTCAAATTGCGCAATAGGATGCAGACGATTTCGGAAATTTAAGTTCGCCGGCTTCATCGTTATCAGACTCATCATCAAAGCTTGGGTAATCACTTTTATAAAAATATCTGCCTGACGATTGTGCAACTGTTATTTCACAAATAACTCTCGTGGGGTATTCCTTTATTTATCAATCGGATTTTGAATCGATAACAAATTCAGAGAAGTTGATAATTCGAAGGATGGAATTTGATAACTCGTAAGCTTCCTAATTGATAAGAGAGCTGCTGGAGGTATTTTGTCTGATAAGTTGTCAGAGATACTATCCAAAAAATGTGATTTGTCAATCTGCATTTGTGTATATTTTGAAACAGTATTACTGTTATGCTTTAAACCCAGCTTGATGTTTACAAACAAAAATAAAATGACAGAGGCTAACCAAAAATGCTGGAATGATTCTATTCCTCTCAAGGTTTACCTAATATCTGTTTCATTTGAAACAGATTATTTCGATATGAAAAATTAAAACCCTTAAAAGTGATGATTTTCAAATTGACTGAAAAGAGGATTACCAATTTATGCAATATATACAACGAGAAACGGAACTTCTACCACTAGAGTTGAAAACATTTTTGCTTGTGAAAAACGCTTAATACAAAAGGGATTCACCCTACATTACTACTATTGTTAAGCTCTAATTGTTCTTTTAAAATTATTTGTAAATTGTTTGTATATTAAAAATGAGTTCGAAATCATTTTTTGCAGTCCAAACCTGGAAAGTTTAAATCTACACGGAGAAGAAAAGTATGGTAAAAACTACCAGAATATGGTAAAATTTACCTCTTTTCTGGTTCTATAAGAACAATGCAATTTTTACCGAAGCGTTTTGGCAAGAATAAAATGTATAGCCGCTATAACTTATGAGCTAATTTAATGCTTCTTAATTCTTAAACTTAATAATTATTTTAATTTTTTTATGCTTAAATGTACCAAAAGGACTTTCATATGATTGTTTAGTAAGAAAGTATATGAAAACTTCATCATGAGTCTGTGACACTGTCGGACCTGGGTTTTAGTCTGAGCCCGTTTTATCTACGCTATGTACAGCAAAAGGGTTCCTGAGTTAGGTCACATTTTTCATCAGGGTGCTCAATATGTTTCAACTGATTATCCATAGAAAAATATTTGCTCAGAATTATAAAATGTCGTAACCCAAAAATTTATTTTTTATGTTATTGATTTTGATATGTTATTACATGGAGAAAACAGTTCTGGTAAAATTACCTTTTTGTATGGTAATATTTCTGGTAAAAAAAATCTTAATTCTGGTTACTAAAAATCCTAATTCGGTATTTAAACCATTCATTTGATAATTTTTCTGTTCCTATGGGGACGGTTTCCAGTAAATTCTGGTTTTTAAAATTATAATTCTTACTACCACACATGTTGAAAAAACGCATAACTATAAAGTAAATTTAACCGAATAAATGGTTTCTATGTCATACCCAAAGGTATCATGATAAAATTACCAAATTTTACCACATTTACCAAATTTCTTCATGCATTACGAAATTATATTTTATGGTTAATGTCTCTAAAATTAATACCAAAGTGCTTCAGTAAATATTACCAATCTTTTTGGTGTTCCCATAGAGTCAGAAACACGGTAAATATTACCGTATTCTGGTAGTTTTAACCATACTTTTTTTCTTAGTGTAAATAACTAAGGAGTTATGCTTTGTAGAATATAAATGTTTTACGTGATGTTCATGCAAAAATAAAATAATCTTGATAGATTAGCTAAATATAGATCTATCTAGAATAGAAAATAATCGAGATAGAAGAGCTAAAAACTCCCGTGCCTTTTTTTTTAAACTATATATTTTTATCGTTCATATTCTGAAAAAAAAAAACAAGCCGCATTTTTTAATTATTATTATTTAGTGTTAACTGATTTATTTAAAAAAAATTTACGTTCTTGGCCGATCAACTCGGTTACACGAAACTTCATGTTTATATTTTTAAAACGAAGCATGCTAAAAAAAAATTTCAACTTTACGCAATTATAATTCTTTTGAAATGAAATTATTTATGTTACAAAAATAAACACTAATTATGTTTAAATATTTATTCGAAAAGCTATATCAAAAACGCATATGAGCTAACAGTTTTCTAAATAGAACGGAAATATTGGAAATGCTGCTGCTCCATTTTCTATTTCCGGAAACATTGCGTCTTTATTAATTACAGTTTTTTTTCTTCTTTTTTATGAAATTTATAATAAAAATATTGTAGTCGTAGAAATGATTCTACAATTCTAATTGCATTTATTTAAAATTAAAAATGTGTTTGGGGGGATATCTTTAATGTTTAAATATAAATCAAACTGACCTTCACATTTTATAAAATAATGCTCACTGCTTGGTAATAATATGAATAATGTATAATATGATAATGCTGCCGTTTCTGTATTTTAAAATGTATAATGCATAATAATAATGTTGAGCAGCAATTCAATAGAGATGTTGTAAGTTTAAATTTATGTATTTGACTTACATGCTTAAGTAAAAATTTATAGATTTAAATTATAAATCTAATTATCAATGTAAGTCACTGTATATATTTATAATATTAAAATATAAAAGTAGTAATTTATGAAAATAATTTTTTGGATGAATGTTATATAAATTAATTGTAGTAAAAGCAAAATCAATATCTATTAAACAAAAATTATGAACAATATTTACAGGAAAATATAGTAATATTGAATTACATTATAATATTATTATTAACAGCTATAATAATCAATTAATGCTAGTGATACAAATTTATTGCTGCTACTCTAAAATAATAATAGTAAATTAATGGTAGTAATATGAATTTTTTGCTGCCAAATAAGAAGGATTTGTTAAATTTTTGATCAAAATTATAACAATTATATTATATTTAAATCTATATCTAATTTAATAGTTTCTGTTGCAGCTTGTTTTGAATTTTTTTTTAAATAATTGCGAAGAAAGAATAAAATTTTAAATAATATGCAATTTTATAGAACAATATTTTTAGTCAATTAACATTAAAGAAAAAAAAATTTAACAATGTAAGACCTTTACTTTTTAAATCCTTATTAAATAAATAAAAAAACCTATGACTAGTTAAACAGGTGCTCACAAGAAGAAATTTTTTTAAAGAAAACTTAAGTCATGTATTTTCTTGTATAAAATTAGTTTCTAAATAGGTCATGGTGATTTTATGAAGTGTATTTTTTGTTTAGAATATCATAAAAAAGTAATGATAGTAGTCAAAATTTATTGTTGCCAAACAAAAACTATTTGCAATACATATCATAAAAATCATAGTTCTTGAAGGGCGCCCTCTTCCGTCATCTCATTTGAATTTAAAAACTTTTTTTAGGAGGACTTTTTGTTTGCTTTCGAGGTCAAATACGGCTTAGCGGCGTAAATTTCTAGAAAAGAGGTAAACGAGCTGAATGGAAAATCGTAGACAAAGGAAGAAAGAATCATTAAAGACGAGTTAACGACGAGTTGCACGAGGCTTTTGTACTGCTCTTCGCAAAAACGCACTTTTCGAATTATGTGAAGTTTAACGTTCATCTATCAAAGAAAAATTCTGAATTGAAATCGAATTCGCTTGAATGAAGCAAGATTGTGCAACTAGCGAAAAATTATCTTTTGAAACAAAGACGATCTGAGCTCAAAGCTGACATTCTTCGTATGGTTCTGCAGACGATATTTAAAGAAGAAAATGTTTTTAATTTTGTTGTTATTTTATTTATTTATTTATTTTTGATATCTTTGGATTCTTGAAAAAAAAGTAAAGAAAAAAGTAAGATTTCGTCATTCTATTTAAATTCAGCTTTTTCGAAAATATTCTTTCTGAAAAATGAATCATTCCTGAAAAAAAGTTTTAGTAAAATATGTAGTCCGCTTAAGTAAAAAAAAAAAATTCAAGGAGCAGTTAATAATGACTTCTGAAAACAAAAATGGACGATGCATTAGAATAGTTTGATGAACTTACGAGCGAAAAATTATCTTTTGAGACAAAGACGATCTGAGCTCAAAACTAACATTCTTCGTATGGTTCTGCAGACGATAATGAAAAAAAGTGACGATATTTGAAAAAGAAAATGTTTTAATTTTATTGTTATTTTATTTATTTATTTTTGATATTTTTGACTTGTTGAAAAAAAGGGAAAGAAAAAATTTAAGATTTCATAATGCTATTTAAATTTCTAAAATATTCTTTTTGAAAAATGAATCATTCCTGAAAAACGTTTTAGTAAAATATATAGACCGCATAAGTCAAAAAAATTCAAAGAGCAGTTAAGAATGACTTCTGCAAACAAAAATGGACGATGGATAAGAATAGTTTGATGAACTTGGCAAAACTTTTAGAATATTAAACTTTGTTTAGACTGAAACTGAAACTTTTGTATCATTTGAATTATTTTTTTTTATCCGCTTTTAAGTATAGATTTTAAAATATGAGTATTCCTGAAAATGTTTATGAAATGAAATACAATCCACTTGAATCAAACAAGTTAGAGAGCAAAGGTAAAAATTTATGCTTTAACAGCACAAAAATTAAATGACAGAGAGAAAAATAATGTCTGATTAGTGCAAAAATCAGACGCAGTATGAAAAAATGATGATCAGGAAAAATATTATTTTAGATAAAACTCATTTTTTTGAGATTTTTAGTTTTTTTTAAAACTAAAATTGTATTCTACTTAAATTAGTGTTTTCTTAAAACAGCATTTTTGTTTTGCATTGTGAATATATCTAAAAAAATATTTGAAATGAATACAGAATTCGAGTTAAAGAAATTAACTGAAACACAAAATATAGAATGAAATCTGCAAAACAGAAATCGAGAATAATCTGAGAATATATATGGGTCATTCTCACGAAAACTGTCATTTTTCAGTTCATAAAATCCCAAAAAAGTAAAGTGAATTAAAAGCTCTGAAACTTTTTATATTAATAGAAATATGTAATGGCATTATAAAGAAAGTATATATCCTATAAATTATACTTAATATTTAAATTAATTAATTTTTTAAATAATTAATTTATAATTAAT